TTAGTATACATATGTATTGGTTGTGTTCTTTTCCCCTTGGCACATTTAATAATTGTTCTGATTATATTTTTTTAGGCTACTTCCACGCTGGAAAATTTAGGAAATACATTAGAGGCCAAGGAACCACAGAATGCTCAACTCTTTTATAAGATCACAATAGCCTTCAGCAGGACTGTAAGAATATTTTCTGTGTTCCAGGGTTATTTAACGGTGGTAATAGACATAAACTACATAGAGAAGTCCCTTAACCAAAGACCATATAGTCTAGAAAATATAACATGCATAAATAAGTGATATAGCCTTAAAGAAATTAAAAGGACTAGTGTTGTATTATAACTGAATACAAGAATGGCTTCCAGAAATGTAATAGAAAATTATAGGAGAAACCTAAAATCAGTAATGGAATGAAAGGATTGGAGAGCTAATTAAGCTAGCAAAAGTTAAGGGAAAAGTATATGTATTTTTCAGTTTAAAAGTATTTAATTAAACTAGCAAAAAATAAAATGTAAAACAAGTAGCAAATAAAAATAAAATCTATAATACTGTTAAGTGACATGAATAAATGGAAAATTCTTATTAAAAATAGCAGTTGTCTCATTATGTGAAATTTACAGGAAACCATACCTGCAATTTATGTCCAGAGAATGACTATATTTACCCTTTTAATTCACGTTTTTGCCAGAGGCATTATTTTGACTGCTAGCTTTTGTATAGCACCTATCAACTTGTTCTGCTAAGGTTTTACATTTTCACTGGTTCAGTACCATCTGTAAAAGGAACTGAAGCAATGTATGGATGGCCTAATCTGACTTCTTATTGCTTCTTAAAGTCCAGTAATGTCCAGTATACTAAACAAATAATTGCATGATCAAGCACACCTCCCCACGTGCTCCTGAACCCCTTTCCACCAATCATTGGTTCCAACATTTATACAATTTTACTCACAGACTTTATTCACAGTTGTAGGATTTATTAGGAAAATAGATTGGAGAGTGGAGGAAGCAAAAAAATATCACAGAATGTAAGTCCAGGTTTAGCGCCCAGCAGTCCCAAGCCAGTTTAATAAGGGACAATGCCTTATTTAGTGGCAGTTAGATTCAGTTCAGTAGCACAAATGCAAGAAGCCTCTAATTTTTTTCATTTAGCAAACTTTATCTAAGAATAGTTACAAATCATCTGTTCCTTCAGTGATCCATCAAGCAAAACCTTTAACAGTGACCTTTATCTTAGAGAAGTTACACGTCAGCTTTCCTTTTAGTCATGGAGAAAGCAAAATCTTCCTCTGGTTATGCCTTGCCACAGTCTCTTCATCCTCTCTCCACCATCTTCCCTGCCTTCTCTCACAATGTGGAAACCACTCTGGTGTATTGGTCCCACAGCTGTTGATGATTTGCAAGACCATGTGTCTGTAGTTAAAGTAGCTGGAGACCACTGCCCACTCCGCTAAAGGGAGTTAACATAACATAATGTCTAGAAAAGCCAGTTTTGAAGGCTTCTGACACCCCATAGCCGTTCCCGCAGGAGAAAGATGGGCAGTCTCTATCCATTCTGATTTGTAGCCTTAGAAACCCAATGGAGAGTCACTATAAGTTGGAACCTATTCAACTGTAGTGAATTTGAGATTTTAAATAAGCTTGAAGGCTAGGATTTTGAAGCTCCTTTTCACATACTTTGGGCACATGGGCAGGAGGGACCAGTCCTTAGACATCATGCTTGGAAGGGTGGAGGGACAGCACAGGAGAGGAAGACCCCAGATGAGATGGATTGATACAGTAACTAGGGCAGTGGGGATAGGTGTATTGGAGTCAGTGAGGCTGACTCAGGACAGGGCAGTATTCACAGCTATTGTACATAGGGTCACTATGAATCATATGAGCACATAACAACATAAATCATTTCCTTTTAAAAGTTTTCCTCTTCAAACTTACTTATTCTAAAAACATCCTAGTTTTTTTACTCAAAATAGATACTTGCTTGCCTAATTTGTAAAGCAATCAGAGGCATTTTGAAAAAGAGTTCTAAAAATCTCTTAGTATAGCAATGTTATTAGAGGTATACTTCTCTTTTTTCTTATACTGGTTTATTTACAAATTCATATACATTGTTTTTCACATCGGCTCTTTCCCATTTTTTCACCCCCCCACCCGACTCCATCAAATTGAGCAATCCTATGATTAACATCCCCCCCCCAATCCTCACCATTCTGACCCCTCTCTCTCCTTTGGAATCTCATACTCATTCTACAAAAATGGTCTTAAAGATACTACTTATTAGTCTAGTTAAGATCTGATATAAAATGTCTAAGTGTAATAATTCTATTTTTCTTTATTCTCCTTTTGTGAGGTAACAACAGTTTATTTACTTGAGAAAAAGATTCTTTACATAGAAGTATTTAACGTCAGTATTACTTTTCCCCCCAGTGTGGACGCAATCAGCTTATTCTTCAAAAGACACAAGCATTTTTAGAAAAAGCTTACAGTATAACCCCTCATCATTCAGAATTTGCCACAGAACTTGGATACCAAATGATTTTACAAGGAAAAGTTAAAGACGCATTAAAATGGTATAAGACTGCAATGACATTTGATGAGACCAGTATTTCTGCACTAATTGGTATGTGACAAGTAAATGTACCTAATTTAGATGAAGTAATCCTTACTTTCAGTACTTTAAAGTTAAAAGATAGAATCCATGAGTTTCTGTTGAATTTATAATAAGATTGTTCTATAAGGACAGTTTAATCATAAATGTTTTAAATAAATGAAGTGTTCACTACTATCCACACGGAAAAAGTTATAAATCCTTAAGAACAAAAGTTTTGCTTGAGAGCACCAATTATTTTAATGAAGTAATTTCTCTGAATCATCAATTAGTTACTGTTATTTACTATTTGGCTGCAAGGCTGCCAATTTTACTCCCTTTTATCCTTTTTTTTATATTATTTAATCTAAAATGTTCTTCTTTATTTTAATCTGAAATTTTAATTTGTGATGGTGAGTGAAAACTTGTTTTATGTGTTAGCTTCCTGAATTAATGTGGAACGTGACTAGTTTTGTCCTGTTTGGTTTTAGGATTTATCCGATGCCAATTAATGGAAGGCCAATTTCACGATGCAGACCCACAGCTAGAATTTCTTAGTGAAATTCAACAGTCCATTGGAAAATCATCGGTACAGTATTTTAATAGGATATTTCTAGTTATTTATAAAATATAAACATTTTAATCAGTACTACTACTTAGAAAAGTCTTTTAAAAACTAATGTACATTAATTTTAAGAAGGTAACACATTATTTTACTTTTATACAAAATTATATTTTAGATATTCTGCAAATATATTTGACTAAGGTCACACTTAAAAATAACCGCACATAAGTAGTGCTTGATATATATTTGTTGTTTAAATAGCAAAAGACTTCAAATTTGAATGTATAATTTATGGAAACTTATTTCCTAGGAATTAATCCATTTGCATGCAGTTCTAGCAATAAAGAAAAATAAACAACAAGAAGAAGTTATTAATTTGTTAAATGAAGTTCTGGACACTCATTTTTCACACTTAGAAGATTTACCACTTGGCATTGAATATTTTGAAAAGTTAAATCCTGATTTCTTACTGGAAGTTATTACAGAATATCTGAGCTTCTGTCCAATGCAGGTAATTCTGGGATATATTTTCAAGAATACATGGTGCTTTACAGATGATAAAAATAGTTTTCATATGGTAAACTAAAAAGGCACCTTAGAATGGTAATAATTGGATTTATCTTACTTTAAGTAGTTTATAGTCAGAATATCTATAGCAATGACTTCTCTTAAACTGATAAACGTATTGAGTTACAAATCTTTGTGAATCATAAACTTTTCAAATCAGAGATTGTAAATTAAGTGAAGAGACTGTCCTTCTTCAATTGCATATTAGCTGAGAGACCTAATGCTCCAGCCTTTTAGGTTAGTGGTACAACAAGTAAGATAAAATTTCACCAGAACCCAGTACTATAGAAAGAGCTATAGTAACTTAGTGGTAGGAGTCATACTGCCAATCCAATGGCACGCGATTAAAATCCACTATCTGCTCCATGCGAGAAAGATGGCCAGTCTCCTACTGTGTATTTCACAGCTTCGGAAAACCTACAAGAGGGTCAGCTATGAGTCGATTCTGTACATTGAGTTAGAACTGACCCGTAGCTGACCCTCCATTGGGCTTTTAGAGGCAGTTTTTGCAGGGGAGGTAATTGCTTCTCCTCCCATGGAGGCAGCAGGTAGTTTTGAACTTTGTACCTTCAGAATTACAGCACAGATTCTTACCACTAGGCCACCTTGAGTAAATCACAAGGCAAATTTAGAATTACAACTCATGTTTTCTTGACTTTATGAACGTTAGCAAGAAGCTTCTCACTTACCTTTCCTTCGAACAGATGTTTCTTTGATAAATTTGAACAGATAATGCTTCTTCCATGTATATGTTATCAAATCAGTAATTATACAATAATTTATAATTAATTTGGTAAGTGAAAGTTACTGTTTAATAGTTCCATGCTTTCTTTTTCATAAAAGCCAAATAAACTATTTAAGTTCAATCATAATACAAATACTGTACAGTAGATAGAATTAGATAAATTTTAGAAAAATATAGTCTTTTAGCTCAGCTCTAATTTTTTTTTTTAATTAAACACTCTTAAGAATGTATCACCTAACAGTTTGCTAATTTATTTTGTTTAGCCTGCAAGTCCTGGGCAGCCTCTTTCTCCATTTCTTAGACGTTGTACCTCAGTCTTGGAAACTATTGTAAGAACTGTACCTGGACTTCTACAAGCTGTTTTCCTGATAGCAAAAGTGAAATATTTATCAGGTAGAGTATAGTTTAAAAATTTTACATAACCTTTTCATTCTGGTGTTGTTAAAAACAGGTATAAATAAACATAAATACTCCATGTTTATTTAAAAGTCATAAAACTGCACATTTTACATGTATATAGATACTTTTAATCCAAAATAAAATTGTATCATTTACTATTCAGTTTAATTTTTATAAAATTACTCTAAACAGATATATTCTCATTTTGTGCAGTAGACCCACTCTCATCTTCTGAGAATATTTCTTTCTTAATAAACTTTACTCCATTATTACCTCTCTTGCTTAGTAAACTTTCATCTGTCTTTACCTAAAAAAAAATCACTGTAATCATTTGTGCTTCATGTGAGTTCTTGGCAAAAGGCACTTGCACTACTTTCCAGAAAATAAAGTAAGTCATTTAGTTGTTACTGTGACTGGCAATAATAATACCAATAATTTATAGTCTTTAATCTATAGTTTTTCCTTTACTGGAATCAGTAAATATATTTGCCAACTTTTAGGCAAACATAAAATATATTTATTAATTGTTGTTTCATTATTGTTGGCTACTTTAAGATAAAAGTGAAATTAAAACAACCAGATGATCAAAAGAGAGTATTTAATCTCTATGTACTTAAGTTGTATTAGTAATTCTGTAATACTGGTCTTCTGGTCAAGTTCTATTCTTGAGCCTTTAAAAGATTCTTCTAAACCATTGATCAAAAGTAAAAATGCCCAAATTTAAGCTCACCTTTATGTTGCTTTCAGATGCCTATCTTTGAGCTTCTTTTCTATTTGAACAACTATAAAAAAGGCAGAATGTGAAAAGAACATGCCTCAGGGAAAGGGGTTTTGACAAAGATGTATTGGTTGTAAAATGGCCTGAAGAAATACTGCTTTTATGTTAAGGATATAAAAAACTAAATTTCAAGAAGAAACTGAGCAGCTATTTTGTTATATTAGTGCCTAAGCACTCAAGAATATTGTTTGAGCAAAGAATTTCTAGGAGGAAGAAAGCCAAAAACCAGTCCTTACTATTAATTCTTATCACTCACTCCAGTATGTAAAATGTTTTACATCAAGCTGGACTTTAGTATTGAATGTTTGTTGTTGTTGTTGTT